GAGAGAGAGAGCTGAGGAGAGACGAGAGAGAGAGAGAGAGGAGAGAGAGAGAGAGAGGAGAGAGAGGAGAGAGAGAGAAAGAGAGAGAGAGATAACAACTGTATTTACGGGCTCATTGCTCAATTGTGAGACAGTACCATTTACGTTTGAAACCACGAGAAGCTTGCGCGGGCTAATGTGAGCGACATACGCCGAATCGCGATACCGGCCAAACATGAGTTCGAGAAATGTCACAGGTCAAAGGTCACTTGGGTCAGGGTCATGAAATTTTTAGAGTAGGTGTAAATTGATCAACTCGAGAGCACTGGAAGTTTCGTCGCGATCGGCCGTTTTTTACGCGAGTTGTTCGCGAAAAACCATGGGGGTCCATCCGACCCCCCCACACACGCGCGAGGTTTAAGATAAATACAACCAGAACCATGCATATTTTTTCAGAACGGCTATTGCAGATCTTTTGTCAGAAACGGCTGCTTGTCACATATGCGCGGGAACCCGTGGGGCAGTGGGGGCAGCTTACCCTACCCCCCCCCCCCCACCCCCAACTCTGGGGTCGTGGGGGCGGTGCCCCCACAACTTTGAGACGGAAGACATCACTTTTTTGCAAATGTTTTTTTTTTTGCCAAAGCCAAGGGATGAAAAATAAGTGACCTCAAAACGGTGAGAAAACTAAATTTGGGGGTACCCTAGGATCTCTATCATGGCGTGCCCCCCCCCCCCCAGTCTGAAAGTGGTTCCCGCGCCCTTAGCTTGATGGTTGAGGTTTTGCCCTCTTGAGGCAAAATATCTGACCAGTGACCATGGGTCAAATATCATGGGGTATTGCCCAAACTACTGTGAACCAGAAAGCGAATGGAGCTTCGCGAGATTGAAGCTCTTTGAGGATAGGATAGGCGATCCTGTTTCTCGGTCGAAGATGTCACAGCGGGAAAAGTTTTGGTTTATGGCCATTGGCGTCTAGAAAGAATAATCTTAATTCAGCAATGCTTAAAACAATGACTAAGTACTTCCGGAATGATATTTCACGATGGTCTGCCTTTTCTGCAACTATTTTTGACCGGAGGATCGGAATATAAGGGGAGATAAGGGACGAGAAGATGTCAATTATTTCAGTCGCATGGGTTCTCCCGTGTCGACACTGGACATGCATACAAGCGCTCTGCCAATAGACTCTAGCTCTCGCTAATATCGAGTTAGTTTGGGATTAGTTGGTGACTCAGCAGCGGCGCCGGGTACCGAGTCAGGCGTGGAAACTCCTAACGGGATACAGCCGCGTCCTGAACAAGTGATCGGATAGTTCGAGGAGAACAGTGATGGGCCAGGGACTCCAGCTGGGAGGTCATTCACCCAGAGCAGCGAGGCCCCGCGCCGCCGCAGCCCGCCTGGCAAGTGGCAGCGGAAAGTTGAGCAACAATTCCAATAGCGTCTCACATTACAGCGGCTTCCGGAGCGTTTTGGGCAATAATTTTCAAATGAGGCGACTATCAATAGAACGGCGGCGCAGTTGCAATCAATAAAACGCCTGTTACTGAGGGCTCGTCAACATAGGTCACCTGGATCGCATTCAATGCAGAGTCTGCACAAAGGTACTCTCGTAAAGCTAATATTCGGTTCAATCCAAGCCGCTGTCGCGCCATACGTGGTGTTAGTAGCAGTACGTACTCGTAATCGACAACGTTGCACTTTATAAGTTCACGCTTTTTATGTTCGAAACATTCCGATAACGGCGATAAGTTCCAATGTGTTAACATGCGCACCGACGGGGGGCGGGTATCCGCCCCGCCCCCCCCCCCCCCCCCCCTGAGGTTTTTCGCAAATAGCGGGAAAACCGCGGTGCGTAGCGCCGCGAAATTTGGTACCACTATTCTTATCAATTTTACACATGGTGTGCAAGTTTCAACCTCCTAACTTTTAAGGTCAGGTCACCAGGTCACTTTGAATGACCCAACCTCAAGTCACTTTTTTGCAACTTTGTCACCGTGCCAGAGCTACAGTAGATGTCGGAGGCCTTTGAAAGTCGCAGGATGTTATTAGGTCATTAGTAGCTACAATTTGTATATCTCGGAATTTTAATATCGGTGACCTAAGGTCAGGTTAATTTCTCGACCTCCCCATTTTAAGTAAATGGGGAAAAATCAACTTCCTGTTTTTACCACTAAAACGGGTCGGAATGGCCCCATATACCACACATGATTGATCAGGTTGATCATATACGATCAACCTTCACTACCTTGAGGTCAGTTTTGCTGTTGGGCAGCTGTAAGGTCATGTGACGTCATCAAAGGTCACCAAAGGTTTTTTGCCAATAACTCCGTACAGGAAGAAGATACAGCCGCGCGGATGGTCTCATTGTGTTCAGCTTGTCAAGACGCATCGAATGATATACATGATGACCTCGAGGTCACGTGACCTGAGGTCAACCTTTGACCTTGACCTTTCGAGGTTAACATATGTATCATTCGATGTGGATTGACGAGAGGATCACGATGATGCCCTTACTTTGTTCCTATCTTGACTAAATCGAAAGTTATTCGAGAAAAACTCTCTCCATATCTAGCGCCGCCATTTTGACTTTTTTGACCCCTGTGACGTCATCTTTGACCTGACCTGAACATGACCTTTGTAAAAATTGTAGACCTTGTCCGTGCGTATCCGATGCCGTTTAACGCTTGTCGCTATCTTGCTTCGTTCTCGAGATCTCAGGGCCTGTGGCGGGACATGCGCGAGCTGCGCATCCGCGGCATCCAGCTCAACATGGTCGTCCGCCCCCCCCCCGTCGGTACGAAGTTGGCGCAGACCCCCGTCGGTGCGCGTGTTAATTTTCCCATTGGTCGTTAACCATCGTGAATGTATAAATGCGTATATGTCACATTTGATCCAGGGACCTCCAACACCTGGCATGGATGCATTTTCCAACTCTGCTACAAGGCCAGTCACAGGTACTGAGTGACCAATCTTGAGTGAGTTCAGGTGACCATGCTGGCGAGGAACCAGTCAGTGATCAAGCTTTTGTGAATCTTGTATTGTTAGTGGTTTGTCTGAATCCACTATAGTATTCATGCCTCTTTGTTGTTTCTGTTACAGGGCCACTTTTCAGAAAACAACATGGCGGGCTCATTTAAGAAGTACATTTTGAATAAATTGGGTCTGCTGCGATCGCTCTCTACAGACCAGCGTAACGGCGGTCCCAGCGTACAGCGCAACAACGCCTCCAACAATGCATCCGCCCACAATGCCGTCCAGGACCCGCCGCCGCCGTCGCAGCAGCCCGCCGAGGCCAGTCCCGACCAATCGGAGCGCTCGGAGCGCCGCGACGCCCCGCCCCGCGCCGCCGAGCGCCCTCTGTCGCCGGCCCGGCGCACTGCAGCCCTCCGGTCGCCACGCCAGGCGCCGCGCCGCCTCTTCCAGCGTCCGGCGGCCCTCGACCACAGCCGCGTCAGCCCGGCGCCCTGGAGGCCCGCGTCGTCGCCGGGCCGCGACCTGGCGCACCTGAAGGCCGTGCGCAGCCGCCGGCTGATGAAGGAGTACCGCGAGATCACGCGCAGCGTGGCGCGCCAGCAGGAGCCGGCCTTTACCGTGGAGCTGGTCAACGACTGCCTCTACGAGTGGAACATCCACCTGTTCAACATCGACCGCACCAGCGACCTGTGGCGGGACATGCGCGAGCTGCGCATCCGCGGCATCCAGCTGAACATGGTGTTCCCGGAGAACTTTCCGTTCTCGCCGCCGTTCCTGCGGCTGCTCTCGCCGCGGATCGAGCGCGGCTTCGTGATGGAGGGCGGCGCCATCTGCATGGAGCTGCTGACGCCGCGCGGCTGGGCCTCCGCCTACACCATCGAGGCCATCATCATGCAGCTGGCGGCCAGCCTCGTCAAGGGACAGGTGAGTGCTCTTCTCCAGCGGTGCATGTCCGACTGACGGGACAGCTCACAGGCTCACGACACGACTATGACTAAAAACCAGGTAAAGTTGCACTTAGATTGATTTCGTTTGGTTGCTTGAACCCAAAATCGTTACGAAAACAATTAATATGTTCTAAGACGCATTTATGTTTACACTTTACTTTATATGGGATAAAATGAGCTAGACTGTCGAGTGTCGGTGCTGAGTGCAAATCACAAACAAGAAAAGTTGATTTTCAAATCAAAATATCAGCCAGACAAGATTGTACACTTACAGCCCACCCATTGACGCTGATAGCCTCACTAACGAAACGACTTAACGACATTTGATTTTGGGCCGAGCGCTATTGATTTGCTGACAAAAGTCCCTGAGTCTAGCTAACACGGATATGTACATTGCGAGCTGCAACGCTATTCGATGTTTGTTCCGGAGATCGGACCGGAAGCTCGAACTCTGGTTCTTTGTAAGAAGAGGCCAAAATGAAATGTGAGCGCGATACAGAATTGAGCTGCCCATATTTTACATTCAAACGCCTGCGATTGTAAAACATTAAATGCGAGCTCTGCATTTGAAAAGCTATTAACCCTCGCATGTGTAGGGGGGGGGGGGTCGGATGGACCCCCCCCATGGTTTTTCGCGAATAACTCGCGTAAAAAGCGGCCGATCGCGACGAAACTTTCAGTACCCTCGCATTGATCAATTTTACACCTACCCTGAAAATTTCATGACCCTGACCCAAATGACCTTTGACCTGTGACCTCTTTTCCGAGACCATGTTTGGCCGGAATCGCGATTTCGCGTATGTCGGCTCGCACTAGCCGCGTGTTTGCAAGCTTTTCGTGGTTTCAAACGTTCAAACATGTAATTTGATGTTACTCCCGTGTGTGTCAAGGTCACCTGAAGGTCAGGTCAGGTCATTGACCTTTGGTGACCTCGGGTGACCTCGGGTCACTTTTTCGAGTTTTACATGTTTCTAGGCTAGTTTTTGGAGCTGAATTCGAATTTAGCAACCATTTGAACATTTACGAAGTAGTTTTGGTGACTTCGTAACATGTTACGAAGCTGTCAGAGGCGGTTGACACGTACTACGAATACCCGTCACGACGCCTACTGGTTGACCTGACCTGACCTGACCCGACCTGGTCTAAATGCTTCAAGACATCATCTGTGATCAAAACTAACACGATATTCGTGATCAGCACCCCGAAAAACCCCTAAGCAGCCACACTATACGACTTTCTAACAGGTCCCGATTTTCCCGACTTTGGGTCATTGACCTGACCTGGAAGGTCAACCAATGACCTAGGACCTTAAAATTGGGTATCATCGGCTTCCTCTCGTCACGGGCAACACGCTCGTTTTTTCCGCGAAGCTCTAGCTCGATCAGGGGCCAAACGGCAAGGGGGGGGTCCAACCGACCCCCCCCCTACACATTAGAAGCTGGCAAACGCCGCACACATGCGAGGGTTAAGTTGCTGCAGTGACTTTGGGTGTCTCGGCTGCTTCCTAGCGCCGATTGATCAGCTGTTCCGTCCCGAGAAGGGGCTGTAATCTCCGCCAGTTGTGGGGTGGGATCAGCTCGCACTCCGGGAAACGGGCTGAGCAGACCGGAAGGGCAGCTGCTCCTGGGGCGGGTTGGGCAGCTACTCCGGGGGCGGGTGGGGCAGCTGCTCCGGGGGCGGGTGGGCAGCTACTCCGGGGGCCGAAAGGGCAGCTACTCCGGGGGCGGGCGGGGCAGTTGATCCGGGGGCGGGTGGGGCAGCCGCTCCGGGGGCGGGCGGGGCAGCTACTCCGGGGGCCGGAAGGCAGCTAGCTGCTGAGGGGGCGGGTGGGGCTGCTGCTGAGGGAGCGGGTGGGGCAGCTACTCCGGGGGCGGGTGGGGCAGCTACTTCGGGGGCCGGAAGGCTGTAACGTCTAGCATCTAGCCGGTTTAAATTTTTATTTTCTGATCATACCTATACTGTACGGTGTTCACCCATCTGCTCCTCCGACGTGACCCGACCTGACCGGGACCGGAGATGAGCCCGTGCAGGCTCGGCCGCGCGGTGTGACAGTGTTAACATTATCCAGACGCATCGGCATGCGTCACCAGCGCCGGGCGCCGCCGCTTAATTGTTGATGTACAATAAATCAGAAGGTGCGGTGGCCGCCGGCCGCTCGGGTGCTAACGCCGGATGGAAAAGAACTGGAGTGGGCGTATCAGGGCAAAGGACACTCACTACCGGTTTGAACCAGTAACGAGTGGCTCGGCCTGACTACGCACACCCTCGGCTCTGGACCAGAGGAGGGCAGTTCACCTCGGGGCTCTGGAGCGCGCGCACCTCTTCTCAAAGACACTCTGCGTCTGAGGGGAGGGGCGGGGGAAGAAGTCCGAGAACCGACGAACGACAACCACGACCAAACGGCGTTGTCACATTGGTGCCTCAGCCCCGGATCGGACTTCAACTTCTGAACATCTGTGCCGCTCAAAGCCCTACAAAAGGTCAGTCTCAGCTACCAACTAGACTGAAATCAACTGGAAGTGAACTCTACCTCATTTCCATCAGAGGTCAGTTTCAACTCTATCGGATTCTGCCTCATCTCCATCAGAGGTCAGACACGGCTACGCCTCAACGCCATCAGAGGTCAAACTGGAACTCAGCTTGAACTCCAACTGGACTCAACTTGGACTCAGCCTGGACTCCAACTGGACTCTATTCGGACCCAGCCTGGACGCAAATCAACAGCAGCTCGATCGTGTGCAGCGGCATCAACCGATCAGCCAGTACACCTGCTGGAAAGCGTGCATTCAGCCAGCAACACCACATCAAAAGGTGTCCGACTACAGCATCGGTCCGGTTAAAAACTTGTCCGAGTTCAACTTTAACCATCTTCTGGGAACACCAGTTGCCCACGACCACCTTCCGGTGGCGCCTGTGGCTCACAGCCACCTTTCAACGAGTGACGACGACTACACCAGCGCCACAAGAGGCTCAAGAGGAGCCGAGCGCGTGAGTCTACAGCTACACCCGCGCCACAAGAGGCTCAAGAGGAGCCGGGCGCATAGACCGACAACCTCACCAGCGCCGAGCACAAGAGGCTCAAGAGGAGCCGGGCGCATAGACCGACGACACTGGCGTCAGCGGGCCGACCTATCGGTCCGCCGACAGATCATCCCGGCAGGCAGTCAACTGCTGCCACTCGCACTACCGCAGCCGATACTCGACCACCCGGAGGAGGGCGACTGTTGAATAAAACGTCAATACGCCGGCCGAAATCAAGTGAGTACCTCACACCAGAAACCAAAGAAACCCCGTTAAGTTCTCTTTCAAATATTAACCTAGTAAATCCGTGTAACTCTAACTCTAACGTCAACATGGACCCCAACATTCTAGCAGAAATTGCGAAATCAGTACGTGACTTGGAAAGAGGACAAAAGATTGCACAAATGATAGATTTAAAGAAAACGTTCGACGGATCGAGTGCCGATGCCCTAACAAAATGGTTGCAGATGATGGACTATGTTTGTGCCCGCTTGGACCATGACGACGCCCAAACGCTCCTAGTTGCCTCACAGACCCTGAAAGGTATGGCCCTTGACTTTTATATGGAAAACAGCTCGCAGATTACCACATGGCCCCAGCTCAGAGAAGTCATCCTGGACAGGTATGTACACCTCAACCCGGTGATAAGATCAAAGCAAAAGATTAGGACGGCCCTGCAACAAACAAACGAATCTGTCGCTGACTTTGCCGAGAGGATCAGAACCCTAGGAAAACAGGCCTATGCTGATCGTATAAACGAGAAAGAGGTAACAGAGACCCTTACCAACGCTTTCATAAATGGACTGCGCGACCGCCGACTCCAAGAAAATGTTGCCAGAAAAATGCCTAGCACTCTGGCAGAGGCCTACAAACACGCTCATCACGAACAACAGGTAAGGGAGCACGTTTCGCTGTTTAAGGACAACACTCATGGCTCTGAACCAATGGACTGCGACGCACTGAATAAAGAAAAAGCAAAGGACGACCACATTCAACAACAATTGAACCAGGTGACTGAAACTCTAAGCAATATTTGTCAGGTTCTAGTCGCCCAGAACCAGCCACCAGTCCCACAGCAACAGCCTCAGTTTCAAGATCAGCGTTTTCAGGTCCATCCACAGGTTTCACAGCGGTATCACAGCGGACAACCCCACTTCCAGTCATCCAGAGGTCAAAGTCAAGGTAACCGTGGTCCCTCTAACAACCGACCTCCACGACAGGAGTATCGGTGGACAAAAGACAACAGGCCCATATGCTACTATTGCGGCATAGCTGGACACGTCCAGCGAGCGTGTCGCAAACGTAGGGCAGACGCAGAAAACGCAAAGTCCCATCAGCAGCAGCAGCCGGAAAACTAGAAGGACCTCACCCAGAGGAACAGGTGAAGCACGTACAGGTGCTACAGGTAAGTGAACATTGCCCTTATGTAGACATTCATATAGGTTCCCACCCGTTTAGAACACTTTTGGACACTGGTGCTCAACTCTCTCTAGTTAGCAAAGAATTCCTTGAACTATGTGATCCTAAATTAGTGAAACCATGCTCAAAGTCGCCCAACATTTCCCTACGATCAGCTACCGGCCATACCTTAGAAATTTCGGAAGCAGTGCAAATTCGTATCACATTAGGCAAGGTCAGAATGTACCATGAGTTTCTAGTCGTTGAGGATTTCAAACATGATATGATTCTGGGTGTCGACTTCTTGAACATGAGAAAAGCAATCATCGACTTTGAATCACAAATACTTGTGATGGGAAGTTCTGTGTTTCCGTTGCAGCGAAAAACGCCACAAAACAAAAAGGAGGTCAATCTCGTGAGACTAGCGGAGGACGTAGACGTCTTCCCACGTTCAAGGGTACAAGTGAAATGTTCTATCGCTAGAAAGAAGCATACAGATGAAAATTTTGTAGTCTCACAACTGCCGTCATCACCCTGTTTCGAGAACGAACCAGGTGT